CACCGCTCCAGTTGCTTTTCAACGTCTTGAACTACTTAGCGTCACTGCCCTTGGACCATCTCTCAGAAATATCTGAATACCCTGTGCCCAGTATCCAGACTTGAAGAGAGACTAGGTTCCCTGGAATGTGAATGTTCAAGAGGCACACGAGAGACCCTACAAGAAGAGGAGCTGAATGTGAAGGCTCTGTAATTCAGGGTAGTTGAGTCTGTTTAGAAATGCACTGTCAGGTACCTTCTTGACTCCTCCGAGGGTGAGGTCCCTGGAGCGCATGGAAGGAAGGCGGCCCGGTGGGAGAGAGGGTGCGGGTCGCCGGCCGATAAGTCCCCGGGACCCAGACAGGAGGGGTCGTGGCCCTCCCGGAGTGCTGGACTCGCCAGCAGCGTCTCCTTCCGACATGTTGCCTGGGAGAGAACGGACAACCAAGTCGCTCCAAGGGACCCGGACCGACACTCGGACTCAGGGCGGAACCCCACCCACGTGGCTCCCGCCCCCACCCCGGCAGTGCGTCGCTGCCGCCGCGCTCCGGCCCCTCCCCTCCCACGTGGCGAGGATCCCGGATCACCCTGGCTAGAACCTTTCGCTTGCCACCCACCCTCCAAGCGCCCCCGCAAGACACGAGGCTTGGACACACCTGGGCTGCAGCTTCACACTGCGCGACACTTCACCTCCGACGCAACCCTCCACCGGCCCTCAGTCTCCGTGCCTGGCGGAAGTCTGCGTGGCAGGGCCTGAGCGCCGCCATGTTGCCGCCGACGGAAGTTACGTTTGGGGGCGGGATCAGGACATGGTATTTATTGGGCGGCGTCTCGCTGCCCTCCGCCTTCTCTTCCCGGTTCTTCCCGGAGTCGGGAAAAGCTGGGTTGAGAGGGCGAAAAAAGATGAGGGTGCCTATCTCGGCTATGCTACGATGTGGCTTACAAAGGTCTTTGACCCTCGACCAAGTGTGGTGAAGCTGAACTTGGAACGGAGACCTTGTCAGTCGCCAGTCTGAAATGTGGGCGTCCCCGCCGCCGAGCCTCTGGAAGCAATGGGGTCGTGGTCCTGGATAGGGCGAGTGGCGTGGGGCAGAGAACGCAACCAGATCAGAGTTGGAGAGTCCAGGGCCAGCCCAAGGTCTCCGTGGTGACCTTGGAGTGGTCATTACCTCTGGGCAACAGCCTCCCTCCTCGTCCTCCTTACTCGGATTCCTGATGGGGTCTTGAGGTGAGGCTGTAGAGGCGACCTGTGCCTAATCGTCGCACCCACCCTGGACTCCGTTCTTTGGGAGCCTTCCTATGCATCTTTGGTCAAAGCCGGGAAGAAATCTGAAAACGAAATTTGCGCTGCTACTGGACGGATAAATGGAAAGAACCTTTTATTGGACGCTGATTTCTGCAACTGTCCTTTGATGTTGTTCCTTCCCACCCACCCCAGCCATATAAAAACTGCAACAACATCACATAAAGTTTGCGAGAAGGAAACCATTTCTGCTAGAATTTCATAGAGCACTGCTATTAAAAGTTTCGTGACACACCCAGTCCCTTTCATGGAGCTGTCATATTGTGCCACAATTGTGAATCCTCCTTTTTAAAAGTACATTTCTTTGTTGCTGCATCAACTAATTCTCAGCTATGTCATGACACTCTTTCCCTGTTTTGACGCTTAGACCATTTATTTTCCCTGTTGTAAATAGCACTGTAGTGAACATCTAGTATACTCAACGTTTGTTGTTTTTCTTTTGAATTATATCCCTAGGACAGATTTCCAGAATTGGGATAGCTGACCAAAAGAAGATATACTTTTTTTAAGTTGTTTATTTTGTGATCACTGTATGTACAATTCTTATAATGCAGAGAGATCCCAAGTTCTGTTTACTTCGGTCCCCAGATAGTAACAGCATGCAAAACTATACTACATCACAAATAGAATATTGACATTTTAATTTACTTATTTTTGTTTCTTGAGACAAGATCTCGCTGTGTAGTTTAGGCTGACTTGAACTCGCTATGTAGTCCAGGCTGGCCTCGAACTCATGGGAGATATTCCTGCCTCAGCCCCCCCCAAGTTCTGGGATTACAGGTGTGCACCACTACACCCGGATTATCATTGACATTTTTACAATCAAGGAGACATTTTCATCATCACAAGGATCCCTATAGTTGCCCTTTTAGATCCACACCTCCCTCAACCATACTCCCACCACCGCTAATCTGTTCCCATTTCTATAATTTTGTTATTTCAAAAATGTTCCTGCAATGGAATCTGCAGTATGTGACTTCTTAGGATCTCAGCATAATTTTTTGGCAATTATGCAACTTGTTGCATGAATCAATAATTCTTTTTTATTGCTGCATTTCCATGGTTTGTTTAACTACTCTTCCTTTGAAGGATATCTAAGTTGTCTCCAGGTTGGGGCTATTATGGGTAAACTTGCTGTGAGCAAACACGTATAGGTTTTTGTGTAATCTTAAGTTTTCATTTCTCCGGAATAATTACACAGAGTGCAATTCTTGGGATTCATAGAGTTGTCATATGCTTTTTTTTCCCCTTGGTACTGGAAATCGAACTCGGGATCTTGCAATTGCCAGGCAAGCACAGTGCCACTGAGCTAAATCCCCAGCCCCATATATGCATAATTTTATAAAAAGCTGACCATCTGTTTTCCACAGCAGCTATACCATTTTGAATATGTACATTTTATGGTTCTTCATGTGTTGCTAAATTGCTTTCAAAAAGTGTTGTGCAGCCAGATATGGTGGTGCATACCTGTAATCCAGCACTTGGGAGGATAGGGCAAGAGAATTGTGAGTTTGAGGCCAGCCTGGGGCTACATAGTGAATTCAAGGCTGGCATGGACTGCATAAAGAGAACTTGTCTCAAAGAAAAGCCTCAAATAAAGAGTTGTGCTAAAATACATCATTACTAAATACAGATGAATATGAATAAGAATTTTGTACATAAAAATATACCTGTATATATGAAAAGCCACATTCAAGCATTTGCTCTTAAATTTTAAAAGTTTTTTGCAGATTTACTGATATATAAATGTTATGTTAATATTTTATCATATTGCTTTCTAACCAGGCCTATTAAAACTTTTCTCCATATTGTTTTTACAACAATCAAACCAAACCAAAACGCTTCTCTTTGGGCCAGGGATTTTGCTCAGTGGTGCTGTCATCTGCCTTGAAAGCATAAAGTCCTAAGTTTGATCCCTGGCACCAAAAAAACCAAAACAAAGCAAAACTCTTGTCCATTACAGAGATATACTCAACAACCCTTCGCTTCTGATTAGAGTGTTAGATTAGTTGCTTTGATTTCATTCACTGGGCTTTGATGTCTACCAGCCTTTTGGCAGCTTCTAAGTTTTTGTTTTGCTTTCTTATAAAAATACTTATCATAGAATTTTTGAAAGCATCAAGAAAATTAAAATCATTCATTGTTATCCCATTAACTTTTTTTTTTTTTTTTTTGTACCTGGGATTGAACTCGGGACCTTGTGCTTGCAAGGCCGGCGCCAAAACCACTGAGCTAAATCCCTGGCCCTCATTAACTTTTTAATGTACATATTGTAATTATTTTTCTTTTTGCATTTTGAGTTTTAAAAATTAAGATATTTTAGGGGCTGGGGATGTAGCTCAGTGGCACTGTACCTGTCTGGCAATCAAAAGGTCCTGAGTTGGATCCCCTGTACCGGGAAAAGAAGAAAAACAAAAAAGATATTTTATCCATGTGTGGTGGCACATTCCTGTAATCCCAGCACTCTGCGATGCTAAGGCAGGAGGATTGCAAATTCAAGTCCACCCTGGACAATTTAACAATTTAGCAAGACCCTGTCTTAAAAATAAAAAAGACTGCCTTGTAAGCACAAGGGCCAGAGTTCGATCCCCAGTACCAAAATAAATAAATAAAATAAAATTTAAAAAGGACTGGAAGTGTAGCCAGTGGGAAGGTCCTGAGTTCATGCTCCAATATCCTCTCCCCCAAAAAGGATAGTTTACATATAACGCTATAATCTGCTCTTGTTTTTTTTTTTTTCTTTTGAGACAAGGTCTCATTATGTTGTTCAGGCTGATCCTAAACTCACTATGTAGCCCAGGCTGGCCTTGAACTCATGACTATCCTCTTGCCTCAGCCTCCAGAGTGCTGGGAGCACAGGCGTCCACCACTGCACTCATTTTTCTTCCTCTTTCATTAAAACTGAAAACACAAAATTCATTACATACATGAGGCATGTGAATATTAGATTCATACTCATAATAATATACAAGAAATATTTTTTTGGAATTATTAAACATTCTTATGAATTATGACTTAATGTAAGTAGTACTCCACATTTGTTTTGTGTTTTTGAGACAAAGGCTTGCTATGAATTCGCTATGTAGCCCAGGCTGGCCTCGAACTCACAGAGATCTTCCTGCCTCAGTCTTCGAGTGCTGGGATTATAGGTGTGCACCACACCCAGCCCACATTTTTTTTGTTTTTGACAAGGTCTTGCTCTGTGATTCAGGCTAGTCTTGAACTCACTACGTAGCCCAGGCTGGCCTTGAATTTATGGCAATTCTCTTGTCTCAGCCTCCCAAGTACTGGGATTAAAGGCATGCACCACCATATGCTACCATGCCTGGACATTACTTCACATTTTTGTCTTACACTATATTTAACCAATTTTCTTCTTGCAACATTTATGAAATTTTCACAGCATTTTTTGCCCCCAGAAGACCAATCAAGCACCTACATTTGACATTCTGTTTCCTAACAATGATTATTATACTTTCCTTTCAGAAATTTGCTCTAACCTTCCTTTTCATTAAGCTAATGGGTTTTCAGCACCATTCTGCTTTCATTCTTTACCTGTGCCCACACCTGTCTCTTTATTTTCTCCCAATGAGTGTTCATTCTTTTTTCTGATCTCAAAGGAAATTTGTAAATAATTATTAAATAAATCCCACTTGGTGGACATGATTCTAGCAGATCTTAATGTTACTGACAATGTTTTATTTTCACAAATTTCATAGTGAAGCTAATAGCCTTATTCTTTCTGATAAATAATACAGCTAATAATTAAATTCAACATCTATAGTTTTGTTTTTCCTGGTTTAAGTGTAGATTTGGGGAGTAATTAACAGATTCTGTCAACAGCCTTTCCTGTGAATTCTGGATGGGCATCAGAGATATGAAATAGATAAAGAGGTGTTTTGAATACGTTTCAGTAGAGTAACAGGAATGTATGGCACAGGGGTACCACCTAAGTTCACGCTGTTCCGCGTTCCCTGTGAGTCGTTCATCCTGATTTATTTGCTTCACTTCTTAGGCCATTCATTTGCTGCTTCCTCCTCATTGTCTTGACCTCCAAACATTGGAGAGTTGTAAGATGCAGTCCTCAGAATTCTTCCTTTTTCCATATTTACTCCATTGCCCTTATCTAGTTCATCTGCTTTAAAGAGGACATTGTGTGCTGATGGCTCCTCAGTGCACATTTCCAGCTCAGAGGCTGTTCAATCCCTAGATGTGTATCTCTGCCTTGAGTATCTGCTAGGCGTCTCAGACCTAGATCCACATTCATACTTTTTTTTTTTTTTTTGGTATGGGGAGTTGAACTCAGGTCCTTGAGCTTGCAAAGCAGGTGGCACAACCACTGAGCTAAATCCCCAGCTCACATTCATACTTTTGATCCTCGTACTCAAACTACTCCTCCAAAGTAGTCCCCATCTCAGTTCCTAGCAACTGCATCCTTCTAGTTGTTTAGGTCAAAAATCTTGCCATTCTTCTTGTCTCTTTTCTCCCATGCTCTCTCTTAC